TTCGACGCTTATCGGGTTTGACTGTAGGTTCAGACACTGACATGCGTAGTGCAATGCTAAAATCTACCCTAATTGTGTGCCTAATAAAAAAAATAATCAGAAACGCCGTGTGATATGTTTTGGGGCCAGTCCTTATTCATTTCACCATACCCAGAAATGAGCAATAATCCGTCTGAACCGCCCTGACTATAGGCCATTTCCCCTTTTTGGCCAAAATGCCGTGGCCGTGGCCTCGAAAGTAGGTCGAACTGCATGCTCGCAAAATAGGAGTTCTTCCCATAGGAGTAACAACTATATATGCGCAATTTGACACATTGGTCAGAACGGTCCTGAGCCTTATCGTTGACCGTAGCTCAAATGTTGACGGATGGACCAGACGTACGACAGACGACACCGCCATGGCCATAGCTCATCTTGACGATGTCAAGGCGCGCTAAAAAATGGAGAGGAGATGAAGATAATAGATTTGATAGAGAGCAGGAAGGCGAGGGAGAGAAGGCGGAGGAAGGAGGGAGGCAGGAAGACGGAATTACACACACACACACATGCATCGCCACACATACATCATCGCACACGCACAAGTTCCAATGCCCCGTTAGGTGGGCAGAATTCTGTGTATATTGGCCGTATCAACGCTAAAATATCTTCTAGGCTGCAGGGCACTTCCCCACGCGGCTAGCAGTGGACGTAGAACTGGCGGTGAACTGGAAAAGTGTTTGATCCGTGACCGCACACTCACAGGCACACGCACACGCACACGCACACACACACACACACACACACACACACACACACACAGACGCATGCACACACGCACGAACGCACGAACGCACGCACGCACGCACGCACGCACGCACGCAGATCGAGAGAGAGTGAGAGAGAGAGAAAGAGAGAGGAGAGAGAAACAGACAGAAAGAAAGACAGACAGACAGACAGACAAACAGACAGACAGACAGACAGACAGAGAGAGGGGGAGAGATAGAGATAAACAGGCAGACAGGTAAGCTGATAGAATGAACAAGGGTAGTAGGAAGGTATTTGTTTACCCAGGGTTCTGAGGGAAGCTGGTGGAAATCTTGCTGCCCATGCCCCGTCTCATTCTCGAATCGGACGACTTCATCATCGCACAGTGATCGCCACTGCTCTTCACAAGACTGTCATTGTCTGCAACAGTTACAAAACACACAAAATACACATGTTATCCATTGTTCATTCTACTGTTCAAGAAAAAAAAGTTATATAGTAAAATCAGTACTTTTGAGTTAAACAGAAAATACCTACTTTCATGGCTATAAGATATACGATAAACACCCACTTGCTCACAATGCATGCAATTCATAAAAATTTAATACTGAATTAAATAGCAGATAAACAATCAAGCAGCCTACTTTTAATGTTCACAGCAGATTTTACGATCCTGTCCACTATAGATATTCTACAACCACTGCTGTTACTACTACTACTACTACTATTACTAATTACTAATATATATATTAATAACGTGCTTCATCTTAACTTAGTTAGATAGAGTAACTCATGCACCAAAGGTTCATTAAGAAAATACTATAAAGAAATTCACGGACACGATAAAAATGTTTGATTCAAATGTGTCGACGTATGACATTTCACCATGCTTGCTTACAGAGCTTGTAAAACACGAAACCGCGTTTTGGCTAAGTAACTGTACACATAAATGATATATATCACTCTGTAAGTTGCACACAGAAGTTTTCCACCAGTGTAATACGGTGATTAACCGAATCCGCGGACACGACATCCGACACATATTAAGCTTAAAAAAATACGCACTCCAGACGTTTTAAATGCAAAGTATAAAATAATTTGGCTTGATTTTCACAAGCACGTCAAATCGCAGAAATTTGCAAACGGTACACCAAAAACGACGAGACGAAGGGATCACCCACGGCGCTTTTTAACGCTAGGTAGCTTTACTCCACCGGCAAACATGATACACTCTAAATCGTCCACATGCTGTAACTACCAGCCATGTCTTCTTCGTCCTCTGTCTAAACACACGACACGCAAATCCAGAAATCCACGAACTGCCGTCGACTCTACACAACACCAGCTCTCGCCATCATTGACCACGCTGTGCGGGAACGGAGCCCAAGTGCAACCAACTTCTGCCACCACTAAGCTACAAGTGACCAACGCATACCGGTGAATCCCACCGAAATTATTAGGAGCCAGCCATTCTTCCATGGTTACTCGCCCTATAGCTTACATATATGCTACACCCACTAATTCACCTGCTTCGCGAACTAATGATACATTACGAGTACATTACTGACAGTAATACACTTCTGAATAATGCAGGAAATGGCAAGCACGCTGACACGGCACCTGGAAATTAATAAGAACTTATTAATTAAGTGCATTACTGACGTGGATGTAACCAGATGTTGCGATCAATAATTTTGGCAACAACATGTACTGCCGGAGCAGGCAATATGGTAGATGTTTTCTGGTCATGCGCGCGTTCACGGTTTGTGCAGTTTGTTAGCTAAAACCTTGCTTGTGTGTGTTCCTCTTGCACCCTCAATGACACGAGGACGTAACAATGTCATTTAGTAACACAAAGAGTGCATGCATACATGCCAGAGTAGAACTCTTTCTAATAACATATATATATATCTCAACGTAATATGTGTATGCGTAGGTACAGCAAATACGTCACGAGATGGAAATTAAATAAATATAGACATATTTCGCTCTCATTAGGCTTCCCAGGATTTCAATATTGTTGTCACCCTCTCAACATATCAGGAGTGTATAATATAGAACCCCTGAACATATCTCCCACTGTTCATGCTATAGGGGGTCTGATCGGAATTTGCAAAGCCCTTGCTAATAATCCCACGCGACCACCGCGCGCTATCTTCCTGATCTTCTGCTAAGAAATAAAGTCGTTTGCACACACTGTGTGAGTCTTAATTGGAAGATATTGACACGATGCATTGTTTGATACAATATGCAAATTCATACAAATTACACACACAGGTGATCGAAACAACTTCCTACTTGGCTGCATAAGAGAACAGATACATACTGAAAAGGAGGTCTGTGTTGGTACCATAGAAATAATATACTAGTTAGACTCTATATCAGTGGTTCTTAACCTTTTTTGAGTCATGGACCGCTTTGAGAACCTGGTAAAAGCTACGGACCCCTCCCCAGAATAATGCACATGAGCGCTCCACATAAACACAAAATTTTGTACGCGCCTCGTTCACGGACCCCCTGAAGCCCGTGGACCACGGGTTAAAAACCCTTGCTCTATATATTGTGTCTCTATATATTTCTATGGTTGGCACGCAGCGGTTTTGGGTTCCCCTATAACCCAACAACACGGCTTTGAGACCAATGAAACGTCAATACACGAGCATGCAATACTACATGACTGTTTCTTGGGGCTAATAAGCCCCGCCCAGTGCTGTCACGGAACTTGTCGATGCAATGTTAGCGGCGAATGACCGGCTAATGAATGTTTCAAGTAATGGTAATCTCATAAAGTTCTTATGTGCTCGCGAGGTGTCGAAAGACCATTTAGCATACATGTACTGTACAACCACTAGCAGTACATGTGTACAGACACAATGTTGATTTATCACTCGCGTGCACCATACGAATATACACGCGCTATATGTAGACTATAGCATAATATAACGCGGAGTGTATAATATAAACTACTAGTATATATACCCCCTCCCCCCACACACACACACACCCACGCGCGCGCACACACACACCCACACAGAAACACACACGCACGCACGCAAACGCACGCACGCTCGCGCGCACACGCACGCACGCACGCACGCACGCACACACACACACACACACACACACACACACACACACTTGCACTGCAGATAGTTGCAAACTTTCTAAGCTACATCCTCTCTCCTCATTTTTTTAAATAACGAAGAAATAAATATCAAACCTCACACCAGAGATTGAAAAGTTCACGTGACCAATACTTTTCATAGATTGACATTACATTTCATGTTCCTTTCTGCAAAGTCACGGGAACTATATGACACACTGACGAAAAACTAATGGTTGTTGTAATGGATTAGTCAAACCATGTACTGAAAAAAACAAATGATAATGAACTGTCCCTTTACCTACTGAACTTTGGCCTTTGGCATCCACGTTTGACACGTTTGAACTTTGGCTCACTCGCTCCATTATAACCTTATATTCAAAATCCAATGGAATCAGTAGAACACAAGCACTGGCACATTGTTGCAAAATTTCCTCTCAAATTACGACTACAGGAGGGGGTTTAGACATGCCTCAAATGAGGGGTTAACACGATGAATCACTCCCACTCAAGCAAAGTATTGATTATGCCACATGGGAGTGAAATGCAATTAAGGTGAAGATGTGTCTGAAGTCATAGTTATCCGTTTTTTGCTAGTTAGCTTGAAGGACAGTCCTTAGGCTTAACTAGCACAGCCACAATATCATTTTCACCCTTTTTTTCTCATATATAGTAAATTGTTTTTGATGTTTGAAATATTTATTACTTTCTGACATTATTCCAACAATTTGCCAATCACACAATTACATTAGTCATTTCGAACACAAATTTGCTTGTGAATTACTATGACAAGCATTCCGAAAAAAGGAATGACACTTTTTAAGAGGTTATAATGACCCTTACAGTACACGCAGGTATTATCAACAGACAGCAATGAAGCTATGGTGCACGTGGATCATATCGCAGATGAGAAATCTGTAAATGTAGATCTATGTTTCTCTGCACTGTAAGATAGATATCTGTTACTCTTTTTCTTTATATGTATATGTCCTATAAAACCACAGCAGGGTGTTGTTCTGCAGGTTCAAGGTTCAAGGGTGAAGAGAACCATTTCCCATTAAAATTTCAATTTTGAGAAACACACACACGGCTACACACGCATACATGCACGGACGAACACACACACACACACACACACACACACACACGCACGCACGCACGCACGCACGCACGCACACACAACACACACAGTGACAGGAACACACACACCCGCACACACAGGAACACGCACGCACGCACGCACGCACGCACGCACGCACGCACACACACACACAGTTGCGTAGACAGGTCCTCAGTTGTGGGGGTGGATGATTTCACTGTTACTTCCATCGCAAAGTATACGAAGAGTGGGTGTGCGGTACAGGGGGCGGAGCCCCCGGTCCAAGCTCTTGGATTTTAGCAATTTAGAACCTTCAAGATGGCCGTTTTTAAGGGAATTGGAAAAAATTTAAATTGTAAGTGAAACACTTGAATTCTATGTTTATTTTTTTTTTTATCCCAACACACAACCCCCCCCCCCCCACACACACAACCAGTGGCGGATCCAGAAGTGAATTCTAGGGGGGGCGAATCATGCGAGTTCAAAAGCACGAAGCGCCCGAGGGGGGAGGGTGTTGGAGGGGGTGTCCCCCTCCCACTCTGTGGAATTGTTAAAAAAGTTGCAATCTAAAAGCAATCAATTTTGGACATCTTTCAGGGGATTTTTCCTCCTTCAGGGGGGTGTCCCCCTCCTGTTTAGGGGGGAGGGGTCCGGGAGACCTCCCTCAGAAATTTTGTTGAAAATTACACCTTTTAGATGCAATTTCCTGCACTCTGAGCAGCATTATTAACAATCTTCATCACGGTGACAATAATATCACTGTTGAGTTGAGTATTTTTATCTTTGGGGACACCAAGACTAAAATACTTACTACTAATCTGTGCTATGTACATGTCCTCACTGGGTTACCAATGCAGACTTACCTAGGCTAAAATACCCTTGCCATGAAAATTCTAGGGGGGCGACCGCCCCCTGTGCCCCCTGGATCCGCCACTGACATTGACAACTACAGCACTGGAATCATCTCCCCCTGAAATTTTGATAAAACGTATATTTTACTGAGAACGCTAAAACTGTACAAAACAAGTGCCGCAGAGCGACAGCGCTCATCTAACGTCTACTGCGGTGACTCTGTGGTGGAGTGGTGGATTCTAGTAAACCTATTAGTCCCAAATGTGTTCACATACACGCCGAAACAGTGGAATGCACAGGGATGGTATCAGGAACCTTCTCAAAGGAATGTTCGTTGGGATCATTATGAAAGTTGCCACGAGATGGCGCGTACGTTTAAGTGTCTTCAGATTAAAGATGGAAGCTCCCATCGTACGTAGTAGCAACAACTATTGCAAGACAGAATAGGTAAGCACTCATCCATATTACCTACGCAAGCCTACAGGCTGCAATAGAGAGCTGCCACCTGTAACCAATTAACGCAGGCAAAAACTACACAGTACCACCAACACATGCACTGGCAGTAGGCCACTGGCAGTGGCATACGTTACATGTAACATACTGACAGTACAGAATGCCATAGAAATTATACGATTTAAGGAGCATAAACCTTCTTTACCCAATTTAGCTTTTGAATTTCACTGTGACATGTAGCCTCATACATCCAGGCATGTATAGATTCTACTAGCAAACCGGCAGTCAATTCTTTCTAACACAGTAACAGTTAACAAATCCATGTTTAAATCCCTCCTCTTGAGGGTCAAAAGGTTATCTGACACTTACTCTTCGCATGTCAGCAGAAAGTAGATTTCATGGTCCTTTCAATAATGCCATAAAAATGCTAGGTCACCGCTGAAACAAAAAAGTTTTTCAATCGCTCCGTCAGACCATGTCCTCAGAAATGTCTAAAATCTGCCCTGTGCCCTTGACCTTGACCTGTGACCTCCAATTCGGCACAGTGATGGCTTTTCCTCCATGATGCTATACACCAACTATCACAAGCCTAGTCGAGCCGTTAGATTTGTGCCGCAATTCTGCATTTCCTCCCTATACCTTAAGTTAAGGAGTGAATGTTCCCCTTCTTTTACACCTCTTGACCTTTGACCTTTGACCCCCAGCTTCGACATCCCAACTCGTTTGACGATCCCCCCAATGTGCCGAATATCGTGACCGTACGTCGAGCGGTTAAGATTTGTGCCCAACTGTTGACAGACGGACGGACGGACAGACGGACGGACGGACGGACGGACGGACGGACGATCATGCGATTCTACAAGCTGCATCTGACTATGTCAGATGAGCTAAAAAGTATGAGAAAAACAACCAAGTGCATATTTTCACCCCTTAAACAAAATTGGGAATATACGTCCGGTCGGGTCTCAGCACCCCCATCCCCCCTCCAAACAAGTGCCGCAGAGCGACAGCGCTCAACTGACGTGTACTGTAGTGAGTACGTGTAAGTGCGTGTACGTGTTTAATTACTTCGCTATATTAACGTTAGATCATGGATATGCGTCAAGCGCGAGCGTAGTGGTGGTGGCGGGGGAGGGTGGGGGTAGGGTGGGAGGGGGAGTGGCGCGGTGGAGGGGGCTCTAATAGCAAAAGCAGTTCAGTCCTTTGTTAACATTCAATAAATCCATGTTTAACCCTCCTCTTGAGGGTCAAAAGGTTATCAGACCCGTACTCTTCGCACGTCAGCGGAAAGTAGATTTCATGGTCCTTTCAATAAAGTGATAAAAATGGTAGGTCAGCGCTGAAAACAAAAAGTTTTGCACTCCGGTACATTAGACCATGTCTTCAGAAAATGTCTGATATCTGACCTTTCCCCACTGCCCTTTGACCTGTGACCTCCAATTTCGCACTGGTGATGGGTTTCCTCCCCATCACACTCTACACCGAATATTAAGAGTGTAGGTCAAGCCGTTGAGATATGTGCCGCAATTCCGTATTTCTCCTATACCTTAAGACTAAGTTAAGGGGGAAATATTCCCCCCCATTGACACATCTCGACCTTTGACCTTGCCCCCCAAATTCGACATCCTGAGTCCAATATCCAACTCTCAATAGGTCTATTCTAATTTTGAATAAAGCAGGGATTTAACTTTCATGAGCAGTGATAAGACGCGATTTGGGAAAAAAATCGTATATGGGGAATGCGTCCAAATTAACCGTCTGAGTTTCAGTAAAATAATGTCATTCTTGGAACGATTACAGACAATTTACAGTAGATGTATGTCCTTTCCATTTGTGTAATAATAGATTAGGAGAGTATGAATAGCGATGACGGATTTGTAGATAAATGTTCAGTATTTATTGTCTGTAGAATATGAATTTTTTCCCCATTTTCCTCTTGAAAGTAGGGAGGGATGATTGTACATGCCATCCCCCACCTCAATAAGGGGGGATATAATCCCCCCATCTATCTATGCCCTGCCGGTGCACACACACACACACACGCATCACATTTCATGGTCCTTTCAATAAAGCCAAAAAATGGTAGGTCACCGCTAAAAAAAAAAGTTTTTCATCGCTCCGTCAGACCATGTCCTCAGAAAATGTCTAAAATCTGCCTGTGCCCCATTGACCTTTGACCTGTGACCTCCCATTTCGGCACAGTGATGGCTTTTCCTACCATGATGCTATACACCGACTATCACGAGCCTAGGTCAAGCCGTTTAGATTTGTGCCGCAATTCTGCATTTCCTCACTATACCTTAAAGCGATCATTGCGAGTTGTTTTCAGCGTTTTGTAGTGTTTATTCTCACTCTCATGATGCCTACGTGTTGCTTGAGTAACAGTAATTGTTTGAAATGACAATAAAATGTCTTAGAACCACATGCAAAGACAAAATCATGCACGATTACAATTTGCGTTCTCTTGTTGATTTTCGCTGTCATGTCTCGCACTTTCTCGCGTACCGCGAGACGTCAACAAGGGTACAGTAATGCAAAAATCGCACCGGAGATATTTTTGGTCAGATGTAAACACAGAGGTGCATTAGTAGCGTAACACAAACAAGAGTGTAAGTTGTAACCTCATTAAATATTAGTCTTCAAAAGTCCTAGGGACTATAACGAAGACGCGAGAAAAAAGTGGATCAAATCCGTTGCGTACCGCCAGCGAGAATACTTATCACACACAAATAGATGCCCCTTTGTTTTAATTATGTTCGCTTGTTTGAGACGCCATTTGTGATTTTTGAAAGTCCTGACTCGAAAAATGTATTGCTGGTATGATGTGGTCAAATCAATTTTTCTATGCTATAACTGCATAAAATATTGGTGTTTGAATGTTGGTGTAATCAGTGATATTTTCGCTGTCAGGTGAGACTATATTCAGCTATATTTAGTTTTTCTGAGCAAAATTCTCGCAATGATCGTTTTAAGTTAAGAAGGGATGTTCCCCTTCTTTTACACCTCTTGACCTTTGACCACCAGCTTCCAACATCCAACTCGTTCCCCAAGCTAAAAATGTATCCTTGATCCAAAATGGCCATAACAATTCAAACAATACTAGGCGTACATCAATACGTATTAATAAATAGACTAATACAATAATAAACACAATAATATTAACACAATTATAATTAAACACAATAATAACACAATAGACTAAGAATATAACTATAGTTATAGTTAGTAAGTTAATATAACTTAGTTATAGTCTATAGATACATTATATTAGTATATTTATTTAAATTATACTTATATAGTTATAGATATATTATAACACCATAATTATACAAACACATAAATTATATGTCATAATAATGACTCTGATATAACAGTATTAACACTATTCACTAAGTAAGTATGTTCTGGACCCGGTTCCACAGTCGTGGATTAACTTTAACCCTGAGTTAAGGCTAACTCTGAGTTAAACTCACTAACTCTGAGTTAGTAAACTCCGAGTTAAATTTGGGATTGTGCGCCCATTTACCCCTTTTAAATCATATGCTATTTACGAATCTCCATTCGCTGGATTTCCCCCCGAGCTCCGCCCACTTTAAAAATAGTGCTAGCATTGTGGCAGTGGTATCCTGAGTGAGCGAAGGGGCACTGCATGCAGTTTGCCCTAGAGCTAAACTAGTCTAAAGGATTATACCGAAGACTATCTATAACTAAATCGAATGTAACTTGATTTTTAACCCCGAGTTAAGAGTTTAATCTGGGTTCATACCAGAGTTAAATTTTAACTCAGAGTTAGGCATATTAAACTCAGAGTCAAAGTTAATCCACGACTGTGGAACGCAATTTAACTCTGAGTTAACTTTTAACTCAGAGTTAAGGAATTTAACTCAGAGTTAAGAGTTAATCCACGTCTGTGGTACCGGGTCCAGGAGGCTATCAATATTATTGATAGACTCCTGGTAAGTTCACTTACAGTAACAGTAACACTAGGCTATTAACAATAACATTAAAGCCGCACTATGCGCATCTACACGCTAATTTTTCCAGTACTAGACTAGCAAATACTTCGTGTCATGCAGAATCATACTACCTTATGACAAAATAAACTCTAGTTCCTCCCATTTCACTGCGCGTTGTCTTATAAAAGGCATTTGAAAATACCTCCAATGTTGTTCAAATTCTCCGATGTTGTTGACAGTTTCGCGTTGCTCTCCCAAGCAACCGTGCAGCGCTGCTGCGGTACAGCGGTACGGGTGTAGCAAAAATAAAAACATGTGACGTCACCTAACCGCTTCGAGGCTAAATTGTTTGGCAAACAAGTCGGCGTTGGCGCCAGATTACAATATTTCGCACCTCTTTCTTGTGGGTTTTAAGCAAACGCGCAGTGAAATGGGAGGAACTAGAGTTTATTTTGCCATAAGGTAGTGTGATTATGCATGACACAAAGTATTTGCTAGTCTAGTACTGGAGAAATATTAGCGTTTGGATGCGCATATTGCGGCTTTAACAGTAACTGTAAACAACAGCAACAGCATCCGCAAAATTAACTTACCGCTCTTTTTTGAAGGAAACAAAAGCCTAGACATCACAGGCAGATGCTAATAAAACCAAAGTTACCCCAGTACTGAGCACACGTAAACCAAAATGACAGGAATATATTTAGGCCTGCGATATATTTATGTTGTTTTCTACTTAGTAATAGTATCAACTATCATGTAACATTTTAGCATTTGTTTACCCGGCTCATCTCGTGTTAACCCGGCACTGTGTAAAATATGATTACTGATTCGTAAGCAATCACCATTTAATAATTTTTATTATTAACTACATAATAAAATCTATATTTTATTAAAATCGTAGCAAACCTGATAAAAAACATTAAAATACATTATTATTAACAGTATTACCGTGTATTTATATAATATTACTTATTATAGTGAGTGTTTGAAAAAAAGACCTGAATTCCATTCTCGTAAAATGACGCGATACAACTAAACATGGCAAAAAGATGTTGTTGTTAATCCTACATTATTAGTATATTTTAATTGTTTTTAACACCACTGTAACGCAATTACTCCATGATTCTTGGTAATACGTCGCGTAGTTAAGCATTGTTACTACAAGTTACAAAATGACGTTCCTTCAGGTACTGACAATGACATTTACTTATCCAGTTATCGTTACTTTCACTAGTTCGAGCAATCTGAATCTGTGAATGTGAATTGGGGCGTTGATAGGTACACCGTATAGTGTGGGAAACACTGAGTAGGCAGGTGCCTTCACGACCGGACGATGTTCCCGTTGTAACCTATCTCTAGAACTATAGCCATTCGTTCTGCCACAGGGCTATAGCACAAACTATGGTCCCAAGGATATAAGATTAAGAGCTGTCCACATTTGCACATTTGCACATCGCCACATGTCGCACATTGCGAAAATGAATTGTGGTCAGCGCTTCTATCCATGAACCCAAACTATGTTGAAACTGGATAATGGAACTGCTCCCAGTCCCACTGCTCCCACGAATAACGGCTCACGGAACGCTAAATGATCGGGCTTTTTAACACTACGTCAATACGTGTTAATAAATAGAAATTAGAATAAAACATAATAATAACACAATAGACTAAGAATATAGTCTATAGTTGTAGATACATTAATAATAATGTCATTATATTAGTATATTTATTGAATTTATACTTATATAGTTATAGATATAGTATAACACCATATAATTATGCAAACACATAAATTATGTCATAATAATATATAATGACTATGATAACACTATTCACTAAGTTCACTAACAGTAACAACAGCTTCTGCACATTTGCTTTTTAACACTTTTTATCTACATGGACCTCTTACCTATCTTTTTGAATACTTTTCACAACTTTACACCATGCATTTATTCATTTATTCCTCAAAGTCTTGGCACTACTTGTAAATTCGGTTCACTGTACCACCCCTATACAGGTAATAATCCCTTTCAAATACTCGCATACCGTCATCCGAAATGTAGGCAAAAACACGGGGGCAGCCCATTATTCATGCATGGGGGGGTTAACTGGTATTTTTTCTAATTATAAACATGTTGCATGGCAAACTTGTAATCAGCGCCAGTGCTATACCCACACCCCCATGAGTAATTGGCTGCCCTCGTTTTTTTCTGTAATCCGTTCCTCGTGGGAGCAGAGGGAGCAGTATCGTTGTCCAGTTTCAACATAGTTTGTGGTGTGGCAGAGCGAAGGGCTATAGTTCTAGAGCTAGTTGTAACCTTAATATTGTGTTGGGTTATAGGGAGGGGTGTACATTACAAACAATACATAAATGTGCATTACCACAAACCTTTGGCTTTGCTCAATCCTAGATTGGGACCCATGTATATATAGTTTGCATATATGCTACACTAATCCGGGGTGATAATCTAGGATTGAGCCCAAACTTTTGTATAAAACTTGTCTAAACATAAGAGGTGTCAGGCCTTTAATTCAATCTCATCGATGTTACGGTTGAACCTATCAACCAGGGTTGGTTATACATAAAGAGGCACAATGGCGCACCGCCGTTGTCAAATTTAACATCACCGTTGTGAAAATGTTCTAAGACATTCAAATTTTTAAAATTGAATGCGAGAGGGGGAGTTCCCTCTCTCCCTCTCTCCCCCCGCGTCTACCTGCAGCGTCCGCATGCATTCCTATGGCACGCCTTTGAATCCATCATGCACCTTTTTTTCCCAAACTGGCCATTGCCTCCTTTGTCTAATTTCCCCTCAGAAGAAACTCTGTCAACTGTAGGCAACATGAAGCAACATCGGTCATGGAAGCCCAACAGGACTTAACTCATTTTAAGTGCAACCCGTCAATTTTTGTTGAGTGTTTCTGGCCTCAGCAACATTTCAACAAGATTATATTTCTCATGGTATTACTAAATACATGCTAGTTGGCACATTTTATACATTTTTCTATTATTGAAATGTTTCTGGTTAACACACTAAACGTAATCTACACACTACAAAAAAAGTAACACTGCAATACTACACAAACTATATATTGGACAAATTTTTTACTCTTTTGCACCTGTATGTAAATGCCAATAAAAAAGTACAAATTTCTACAATAATAATAGGTGAAATGTTCTTCTTTTTTCCTAGTGGCGAAGATTCAACTTTTTTGATAAGGAACTTGTCAAGGTGTCTGATACTGAACAGCAGTTTGATCAGCTCAAGGTATCTAACTTATATTATGTGTATATTCATAGAAGCTACATTATACCTGTCATTAGTTATATAGTGTGGTACACAGTAGCATCGACAAGTGTTATCAGCCTCGTACAATGGATGTGGTTAAGAGATTAAACTATTCACACTACATACTATTAGGTGGTAATGGTGATATTTGTAGTTGTGATTTAATTGAATTTAATACTAGTGATAGTGATTTACTATTCATTATAAATTTTACCAATGCTTTTTTGTCTCTTTGCACTTTCAGGACTATGATATATCGTGTTGCTCTAGTGGCCGCGGACAAATTATAATTGGTGACTTCAGTGGTAGCATCCATTTTGTGGACAGACAGTTCCATGTACACACACTAAAGGCATTTGAACTTAGAACTACACATCTTTATCAACTGAAACAACATAATATTCTTGTTTCGATAGGGGTAAGAATGAGTTATTATAAGTGATATATAATTTTATGCAATTCGTATGCACATTCATAAAAGAAGAGCTAATTAATTCTTTTCATTGCTGTAGTGGAATGTAGGGCCTGATCCTGTAACTGAACCTTCATGCTTTATTTCTTCTTACTATATGTGTGCAACATACGTATAACTGTAAAGGACTTTAGAAGTGTCAATTGAGATGTGTTGGTTATATATTCTGACATAGCTGTGGTTGTACAAGGTGTGGTTGTTCTTATACACATGTATGTATATTCCATAGGAGGATGAAGTTGGAATCAACCCTCTGGTTAAGGTTTGGAACATGGATAAGGTATCAAACAACTTGCATATTTCCAGTCAATTTAATCGCTTAATTTTAACTGCTGTATGAATTAGTAATATCACGAACATACACACATATAGATATACATATAGAATGACATAAGAATAATAGTGAATGATAATAAAATGATGAATATATAAATATATTCTATATATGTGTACATCAAGAGTAGATAATAACAAAGAGTGAGACACCCGATTCCCGCATTTTTAACCGATTTTTCTCATCAAAATTTGCCACCAATAAAGAAGCAAGTGTATACGTTCCTCAGCTTATTATGACCACTAATCACTCACCTTCGTGGTACTGATATTCGTTTACATATATTTGCTAGCGTATTGCTGTAAATCGTAATCTTGCACGAGCTGAATTCGCACGATTTACTGCTGTTGTTGTTAGGTGTTTAGACAACTTGAGAAGCTGTAGTGGCGCCAATATTTAGCAACGGACTGCTTCCAAATCATTCGTGCCCCGATAGGGGTTTAATGTACTTTATTACCTGCGCGTGCGTAATGTGATACTTACTGCAAACTACTACAAAGAATATTGTTATTATTGTATTATTACTTATGTAAGATAGTATGTCAATTTCTTGTGTTGCAATCACAATAACTGAGCGCGTCTCGCGGTTCCTCACGAGATCAAAATTCGAAATTTAGATTGTCTCTCAACCCTATCGGGGCACGAATGATTTGGAAGCAGTCCATTGCTAAATATTGGTGCCACTACAGCTTCTAAAGTTGTCTAAACACCTAACAACAACAGCGGTAAATCGTGCAAATTCAGCTCGTGCAAGATTACGATTTACAGCAATACGCTAGCAAATATATGTTAACGAATATCAGTACCACGAAGGTGAGTGATTAGTGGTCATAATAAGCTGAGGAACGTATACACTTGCTTCTTTGTTGGTGGCAAATTTCGATGAGAAATATCGGTTAGAAATGCGGGAATCAGGTGTCTCACTCTTGTTATATTATCTACTCTTGATGTACATGATATTAGCACACGGCGATTCTTAGATAAGATGTATCATGTGCACTCCCGGCTCCCATTTTCCAGATGGACAGGGCCGGTAACCCCATGTGCACCCGGATAGTCCGGGCGATCCCAGGAAATAAACCGACGCCTGTTTCCTGTCTCGCCGTGCATGAGAATCTAAATTTCATGGTAGTGGGCTTCGCAGATGGAAGCGTCGTGCTCTTTAAGGGCGATGTGACACGGGAAAGGTTTGTATTCTACATATAATGCAATAATAAGTAACATGTAAAATATTTTAATATATTAGTAACAGGAGTGAATAAAAACACAACATGTTTTTATGTACTCCTGATAGTAATAATGCCTATTGGCCTATCTGTCTGGTATGGTTTATAGATAGCTAGAAATTATCAGAATTGCGATAGGGGATATAGGGATTAAGCTTGACGTTTAGTCACTCACTTTATCTTAAGTACCTATCGCTTACTCCAACGTACATATATTTGAGTGTTATCGTAAGCAGCAACCTCTGCTGGAATGCCCACGTCGATTACATTTGTAAAAAGGCCACTCGCTGCCTGAGCATGCTACACTGTTCTCTTTCTTTTGGTGACACTAAAACGTGGTCCCCAGCCTGAACAAGCATGGTTCACTCTATTCCTGAATATGCCTCACCCTACTGGTCCCTCACAAAACTGCAACACATTAGAATGCATTTAGCACAAAGCTCCAAGATGGGTCACAAAAATCTACAATGCCAGTTTTGAAAATATTTTTACAAATCTCATATGGGCATTGTCTTTGTGCTCATTTTGTCTATACCATACATACTCATAAGCTTTTACAATGAGGATATCTGTTCTATGGACCATTTGTGATATATCTGGTAATTAAGGGTGGCATTCTCCTTTGTCTCAGATGAGGTAAATGAGTCGGTGCGATTATATGCATGTTTTCAGACATAGTAAGCACAGGATTCTGCACCAATCTCCTCATCCAGTCACTGGCATGGCATTTAGACAGCTGGGCAAAAACATCATCCTATACATTGCTACCATGGACACTGTGCTGTCATTCAATGTCTCGGTTAAAGACAAGGAGACTAAGGTTTGTGATCTGCTATTTGTGAGTAAAGTTGTTTTAATTGTGTTGATTGTGTGTGTGTGTGTGCGTGTGTGCGTGCATGCGTGCGTGCGTGTGTGCGTGCGTGCGTGCGTGCGTGTGTGCGTGTATTTTGTTAAGTTCATATATATATACCGATTTGTCCATATATGCGTGTAGTTTAGAAGAATTTGAATCGGATTTGAACTGAGATTGTATGGCAAGTATATTGCTAGAAATATACATTTGACTGTTCTAATTTTTGTTTGTTTCTGGTCATATCATAACTGCAGAGTAGAACATTTAAAACACACATTTTCCCAGTGAACTTTAGTTATTTCTATATTTTATGAATTATGTATGTATCTGTAAATACAGAATGTCTCCTCCAGGTGAAACTGACTTTCGATTTTTAAATATTATTGTGAAAATAGCATTACTGTGGTTTTTGAATTTCAGCAATTGCTGGACAACCATGGCTGCAACCTCAAGTGTTCTGTACTCAGCGATGGTTCGCAAGAATATCAGTTCATCATCGGCAGGCCAGATGTAAGTTCTGCTATAAATACACACGACTTGATTGTTAAATTCTATGTTTGCTTATTATTGTTTTGTTCGCATTGTGAAGTGATGATGATGGCAGCCTCAATTTAAAAACGTGTTTTGAAGGAGTTGTAAATCATTGTGTTACTTACTGAGTTACTCGTGTTATCGCGGTCACCAGTTTTATCCGACTCACACATGGCAGGAAGGGCATTACATACAGTAGTAGTGGTAGTGGTAGTAGTAACAGTAGTAGCAGCAGCAGCAGCAGCAGCATCAGCAGCAGCATCACTAGAAGCAGCAGCAGCAGCAGGAGGAGGAGCAGCAGCAGCATCACTAGTAGCAGCAGCAGCAGCAGCATCACTAGTAGCAGCAGCAGCAGCAGCATCAGCAGCAGCATCACTAGAAGCAGCAGCAGCAGTAGCAGCAGCAGCATAGGTTGTAGTAGCAGCAGCAGCAGCATCAGCAGCAGCATCACTAGAAGCAGCAGCAGCAGCATAAGTTGTAGTAGCAGCAGCAGCAGCAGCAGGAGGAGGAGGAGCAACACTGCCAACAGCAGCAGCAGGAGGAGGAGCAGCAGCAGCAGTAGCAGCAGCAGCAGGAGGAGGAGCAGCAGCAGCAGCAGCAGCAGCAGGAGGAGGAGAAGCAGCAGCAGCAACAGCATAATTATATTGGTGTAATTATATGGGCATTTATTATAAGTGCAAGATAATGAAGGTGCACGTCGGGTTTCCACAGGCCGTGTATTTCTACCAGCCGGAGGGGCGTGGCGCTTGCTTGGCATTTGAGGGTGAGAAGCTACAGATGTGCTGGTACAGGTCATACTTGGTCGTTGTCTCCAAGGAGGCAAAAGCCGTTCCTAAGGCTCCAGTGTAAGTGGCTGCAAATATTGTAAGTACTGTAAGTAATTAATTAATTAAGTAAATAATTAAGTAAATAAGTAAGTAAATATTGTAAGTACTGCAAATATTGATGGAAGTAGTGTCTAAGGTAAGCATGTGAGAAGCACCTTTTCGACATTACTCGGGTGGTTAATTCACTTAGGACTTCACTGCATGCTAAAGGAGTTGGATAGGTAGTAGTTGCGAGTAAAAGTTAGCTTTTTGTTACGAATGTTTGCTTAATGAAATGGCATGAATTGAAATGTAAACATTACAGTGAGACCAACATGTTTTTTGTGTTTAAAAAAAAACATTTTAGGGATGGCCAGCCACGAGAGATGAACATACTCACAATTTATGACATCAAGAATAAATTTATTGGTGAGTTTGAGCCCCCACTATTCTGCTCTTCTATCTTTGACCCATTCTGGAACATCATTTAATTGGTACCCAGAGTAATTAAAAACTGTTTGCAATACTGTTAGGATAATAATATGTTGCATAATTTTATCAGAGATATCAACAGCAGTCATTATATCATTAAATCTATATGATACTGGTATTGTGTATGAAGTGGAACTTCAAAAAATAGGATTATTACGTGATCATGACTAGTGCTTCTGTGTTTAGCATACTCGGCACCTTTACCGGCCGTCACTGACGTCGTGTGTGAATGGGGCTCTCTCTACGTGCTAGCCGGCGAGCAGAAGGTACATGTAGATAGCAGCACCTTCAGCACCATCATGGATATGATTAGGCAAACTTAAACATGTGCGAACAGGTTCCTTCGTATGCCCTGCTTGCCTATACACCTGCATCCTGAGTGTGTCGCAATAACTGCTTGTATCAATTGCAGCTATATCATCTACAAGAGAAAGATACGCAGACAAAGCTAGACATGCTGTTCAAGAAGAACCTTTATGTCCTAGCAATCAGGTATTTGTACACCTGCTTATTCTTCTGCTGTTATTGCCTCTACTAATTATTAACAGTGTGTGCTGCAGAAAGAGTGTAATTTATAAGTAACCTACACATGCTATTTAAATTCTTACTGCAATATAATTATTGAAATCGTAGTGGAATAATTTTATTCTAAACTTGCTGTACTGATTATTATACTGATCGAGCACAATTATTATATGACATGATGTAATCAGTATTTATGTAGAGGTATATTAAATCGGATGTATATAAATAAATGTATTTATGTATAGATAAATATATGTACAGACGTGTGTAATGGTTACACTTCTTTAGCTTAGCAAAGAGCCAGCAGTATGATGAGCAAGGACTAGTTGACATCTTCAGGCAGTATGGAGATCACCTGTACAGGTTAGAAAATTTCCGTCTGCATGTTGTGTCGTTGAAAAGCAGAGAGCCATTGTCAGAAACATGGCAAAGTTACAAGTTTATATGCAGTGTATAGAGGTCCGGTCTACGAGACAAATTTTAAGTTAAAACTAATGTTAAGACAGTGGGCCAATGGGCCCAGAGTAATAGTCAACTGTTCGTAGTAATTATGGGAGTAATGCATAATAAATGTAATTTTTAAGCAAGATAGAAGTTTTTATTCTTTAAGTATGCTTTACATTTTGTTATATTATATATTTCATTTTGTAACGTTATTATTATTTGTTTTATACATATTTTTAACGTATTTTTAAAGTTTATTAACATGGCAATATTAACTGCTACCTAGGATATATTCACTGGTCATAGTCCTTTTTTAAATTTTGCAGTAAAGGGGATCACGAGGAAGCGATCGTGCAATACATTAAAACCATTGGAGTTCTTGAGCCTTCATATGTGATACGAAAAGTAAATACACTTGTGTGATTAGATTTAGTTCATTGTTTATGCTTTTAACAGTTTAAAAAATGTAATTTATGACATGGCGAATTATCAGTTGACATATACAGGTTAAATGGCACTACGTGATATATTGGGGAAAAAAAACAATTTCATTGTAACAAGAACCTACGGCCCAATCCTAGTTTAGCCCCACCCCCGGATTAGTTTAGCACATATGCGAAAACACATTTGCGAGGTCCCAAACCATCCTAACCTATGGCATACTTCCAATAATGGCTTACAATTTTACGAAACATATTGTGCTGTGACGAGAGACGATGATGGAGGAGTATGCGCGTCTCACTTCATATTTATTTGTTCCGCGCAGTTCTTGGATGCTCAGCGGATACACAACCTTACGCGATACCTGCAGGCGCTGCACACTCAGGGTCTGGCCACCGAGGATCACACCACGCTGCTGCTGAACTGCTACACGAAGCTCAAAGACAAGCACAAGCTCGACAAGTTCATCATGGTGAGCTGCGTGAGAGCACGTGGCGGTGCGCAGAGTTGTACGTGGCGGTGCACAGGGTTGTATGTGCTCGTGCGCAGAGTTGTACATGGCGGTGCGCAGAGTTGTACGTGGCGGTGCGCAGAGTTGTACGTGGCGGTGCGCAGAGTTGTACGTGGCGGTGCGCAGAGTTGTACGTGGCGGTGCGCAGAGTTGTACATGCTCGTGCGTGCGTCTGTCACACCCTAACCTGTACAACATGCCTGGCATAACTAAGTACAACTAATCACTATATAAGTATACTATACTAACTACTAACTACTATATTATAACTAACTATTATATTATAACTACTATATATATACATATACATATACATATACATATATGTAACTAACTACTAACTAATATACTATAACCAGTACAAGCATGCCTGACAGGGTATTAAATTTGGGCAGCAAGCAACAGTGTTTCGGCCTATAAGGTGGGGGGTGGGGGTGGGGTGTGGGGTGGGGGTGATCGTGAAAGGACTCAAGATGACAAATTTGGGGGTCAAAGGTCAAAGGTCAAGATGTGTAAACGGAGGTGGAATATTTCCCATTTAACTTAAGGTATAGGAGGAAATACGCGAATTGCGGAACAAATCTGATGGCTCGACCTATGCTCTTAAATATCGGTATAAGTGGATGGCAGGAACGCCATCGCCAGTGCGAAATTGGAGGTCACAGTCAAAGGCACGTGGGGAAAAGGTCAGATATCAACATTTTCTGAGACATGGCCTAATGGACAGAGTGAAAACTTTTTGTTTCAGCGCTGACCTAACATTTTATCACTTTATTGAAAGGACCATGAAATGTGCTTTCCACTGACGCGTACGAAGAGTAAGTGTCTGATAAATTTTGACCTCAGAGGAGGTAAAACATGGATTCCTGAACTGCCTCAATGACTTCACAGTGTGCATATTCATGCACATCCATAATCTAGAAAGCCAATAACCCAATAGGCCAATAAGCCCAGATAGCCGAACGCGTACAGCACGGGTGTCACGGCTGAAAGGTCGTTGGATCGAATCCCATCTGATTTTTTATTATTTACCTGTTTTCTGTATTTTTTTTATCCATTTAACCATTTTTTTCTAATTAACGCAAATATTTACATGATTTATTTCTAACAATTTAATAACAACAACAAAATTTTACAATTAATTATTATTATTTTAATAGGGTTAGTGTTAGGGTCACAATGCACCATAAAACAGGAGTTTCAGGCACGCGATTTGTATCAACCAATGGGATTTGGGAGGTATGCAGAATGCAGAAGCTTGCTGAAATGATGTGTACGCAACTGCATATCTGCATATGTGCGCCCAACAAAGGTGTCACTACGCACGACTTAAATGTTACGTTTATAACCGTAGCAACAGACCTCAGATGAGCCCAGATGCTCTGCGGCTCTTGTTATATTACCATGCCCATTGTTGCTTTTCACTTCAATCCTTTGGAAATCTATAAAATCTATAATGACTCTCAGAATGATGGTTACAATCGGGTACAAAACACAACACCATTTTCATGCAGTTAATGTTACAAAGCCAATGGTTGTTTAGAACCAGTGGGTTCGTTGTCATGCTGCCGTAACGTCATCACTTCAGAGCTCTATATACAGATTTTACTTATTCTAGGTATACAAGGATTCGATTTGCAGGGACTCTAGGTTAGAAGTGGCAACAGGGACAGTCTATGTTTTACGTGTTTTCGATTTAAAATGTTAAGATCATATTCTATATTCATTTATATTATGTTTGCTGTATGGAAAATAATCTGCTATGTAGGCAACGATTTAGATGTATTAGCTGTCGTTATTTTCACCGTGTTTTTTTGTCGCAGACAAAAAGCAAAGAAGAAGTAGACTTTGATGTTATCACAGCAATAAAGGTGAGTATTTAAAAAGTTGTAAGTAAAACGTTTAGTAATGTAATCACCACCTGACACAACTGCAATCAATTTAAAGTTCAAGCTATATGGCATGAAAGTAGTACGTACTTTGCTTGCATCTGAGAGCTGTGCTTATGTATTTCTTATGTATTTCTGTTTAGGTATGCAGACAAGCTGGCTACCATGATCATGCCCTGTACCTGGCAGAGAAGTTTGATCAACATGACTGGTACCTTAAGGTTCAGCTAGAGGACATTAGAGATTATGCTAAAGCGCTGAAGTACATCGCAAATCTGGATTTCTATGAGGTAAAATATGGCATTCACCGTAAGGCGCAGTGTGTTAGATTTGAAATTTTGTTAACAAAATACAATGCTAGCTGGAAATTGTATCATAGTCTATAATCTGCTCTCATTTCTAACGTTATAGTATACTATAGTTATTATTACTGTACTGACTCTCTTTAAGGAAAAACGTCTGAAGTAGGGAGGTGTGATGAGCTGCCATTGCTACATTTCTATCTGCTACTTGATGTATGCTATCCTAACATCTGCACACAAGATGCGTTGTTAATTACACTCCTTTGTTTTACAGGCGGAGGCGATTATGAAGGCTCACGGGAAGATGTTGGTGAATGAAGCGCCAGACCAGACAACTGAACTGTTAAAGACGCTTTGTACGGACTACCGGCCAGTCAACAGTAAGTATTGTTGCCAGAGAAGCGATGGTGGTCGGTGGAGAGTCAAAACATCAAGTTTTGTTGCATCAATGGGTATTGGTATCAGAAACAGAATAACATTGGTAATGTAAAATTGTTGTCCCCATGTCTTTAAGTATAACGCATTTCGGGTTCGAAAACTGAAGCTAATTTGGAACATCCGATAAATCCTCTGATATGCTTTAATTGCCTAATCGATATGCCTTAATTTACAGCGGTGTTTACTTTTGACAATCCCAACACAGTCATGCTGTGTTTTCACAGCTTAATGAATACGTCGCCGAATTGATCGAGTTTACCTGCGTATTGGGGCCGCTTACGACACGCTTAATTAACTCCAATTAGCAACCATGGTTGAATTGCCTGACATGCCTTCTGAAATTCCTGGAGAAAACCCTATGTACTTCTGTTAGTATCAACAGCGATTGAAGTTATCATAACTCCTTTTCTCGCTTGCCATGCTCGCATTCAGTGTGTTTACAATCATCGTGAATCATAAACTACTTCTTTGTCTAATGCTGGACAAGTGACGAGAACAAGCGTAATATTACAAGATGCTCAAATTGTAATCACTTTTGTTTGCAGTGCCCCTGGTTGATGATAACACGTTGGATGGTAAGTGACTAGAAGCTAAAATTTCACACATTTCTAAACTATCTAGCACTTTTTTTTGGTTCGTTTGCAAAAGAACATCGCACCTTTTAATATTCGTCAGCAATCTTTGGCGATACAAACCAGCCATGTTTCTCTTGTTATTAGTATTATTGTTGTTGTTGTTGTTGTTGTTTTGTTGTTGTTATGTTTTACATCTTTTTATTAGGATCTGCACCACGCAGTGTTCTGCAAGCCAAGCCAGACGAGTTCATTCACATTTTTGTCAACAATTCTGCAAAGCTTAGAGAGTTTCTCGAACACATGATAAAGGTATCTTGAAAGTCACGTACTCACAGTGCAAACATTTACTTCAAATGTCTGTCAATTCACCTAGCAAAGAATATAAGCGTAACACAAACATTTATTAATTAATCTAGAAATAGAGGGAAAGTACATTCTCAAAAGATAAATTTGTTCTATATTTTTGATAATTTTTAAAAAAATTGTTGAAAAATAACTTAAAGTAAATATTTCCATAACTGAGTTACACACAGGCAGAAGATGGAGTCGCTGTTTTCCCCGCATTATTTTACACGTCGATGCAAACTTCTTATTTGAGGAATCTTCTTGCTATTATTCTGTCTCAGGTGCAGCCTGGTAGTTCTAGCTTGGTGTACAACACCCTAATTGAACTCTATCTGCATGATGTCGTGCATGAGGCCTCCGCGTCGCAGCGCAAAGTAAAGGAAGAGAAAATCCTTGGAATGCTTCAGAACCCAGCGGTATGTTTTACAGGGACTTTAGGCTGCGTTTAGGTCAGGTCAGGTCAGGTGAGGTTAGGTCAGGTCAGGCATTTAGATGCTTTCAGGCACTTTTAGCCTGGCCTTTACAGGTGCTGCAATTACATGACTATTCCAGCAGACCATACCTGCAAAAACTGTGTGCGCCCGGCAATGCATTACTAAATATAACAATAAGTTGTGAGCACCCTGTAACAGTGCATGCAAGCCATGTCAATCATTAGTGGGGTATTGGGCCTAAGTGAGAATGCATGAGAATACCTAAATTCCAGATTGTGTCCTTTTAATCGCACCGGAAACGACTGTCAAGAAATTGTCGAGTCGTTAGCTTTAAGCACTATAACTGCAGTAATGCTATTTAATGATGTACAACCGTGCAGATTTTGAGATCTCGTTTAAAAGTAATGACAGAAATCTGTAGGGATTTCACTCATATCTCTTTTTGTGCATGATGTTTCCATGGAGTACTTAATTTTTATCACGTTGTCTTCAGTGCACTCATAACGTATAAGGCTATGATGTCTACTTATTATAATAATTGCATTTTAATATCATTTCAATTTATTTAGCAGATATCATCTTCAAGTTGGACATCATTTGCATCAGTTATTTATATTCATTGTCATGTTTGCAGGCTGGTTATGACATAGACCAAGCACTCGTACTGTGTCAGATGCACAATTTCAGACTTGGAGTTCTCTACCTGTATGAAAAGTCTAAACTGTAAGGCGGTATGCTATTGTATAATATGAAGTTGCAGGTGTATACTAAAGAAATATTTTTATAAGCAATATCATGAAGTAGACTTAAAAGTAAGTTGTGGGGTAGAAGTTAAATCAAATAGAAGGTTATAGCGTATCATAATGGTTGATTTTAACAAGTCAAGGAGCATTAACTGCCAAAATATGAAGATGAAGATGATGTAATTTTATTATCTTTAGGTACCAGCAAATTCTCAGTCACCACATGGAACACAAGGAATACACGAACATTGTAGATACATGCAAAAAGTTTGGGTGCGTATAAAATACAAGGTTTTACTCCACTTTTTTCCCCAATTTTTTACTACATTCACTAATTGGAATCATCTGATTATTAACTACTGGTACTATGCATGGTAAATTATAACACACTGGTTTCCCTCATTTAGGACTGAGGAACCAAACCTGTGGGTGCAGGCACTCTGGTATTTTGCTAAGACAGAGGATTGCTACAAGACCTATCTTACTGAAGTGTTGACTCAGATTGATAAGAAGAATTTGTTACCACCACTAATGGTGGTCGAAACACTGGGCCAGAATTCAACTGCTACGCTAGCAGTCATAAAGGTAACCATAACCACATTTTCATGACACGTATTAAATAGTAATAGAGCAAGTAAGTATTAATGTTGCCAGTAAGTAGTTAAAGGGAAACTTAACTTGATGTAGATCAGTGCGCTCACAGTTCTTAGTGACAATAGATAAACAGAGAAGACTAGAGACAGGAGGATGGGGTAACTTGGTGGTTTAGGGATCTGAGCCTAAGGTGGTAAAACCACTTTCTGTATTTTACACCATGTGTGCTCGAGCTAACATGGCACTTCTCCCAACTCGCTTCAGTTAATCCTGCCAAGAAAAGAATACCAGTGGAACTTTGGCAGTACAGTGTACCCCCGAGATACGAATTTTATTCGTTCCACAGATTTGTTCGTATCTCGAACCCTATATAGGACGTACAGCAATTTACGTAGAGCAAGTGCAATCATGAGAGCACAACCACATTCAATGAGTCACGTACTTATACTGACGCACCAAAAGAGCGCGCGCTAGGCCTATGCCCTGATTGTCTGACTCGTAAGACATTTTTTAGAATTTTATTCGTTTGTCAAATACATTACGTTCAACGCGAGGTCGTTTGTATCTTGAAAATTCGTATGTCGAGCCGTTCGTATCTCGGGTGGCCACTGTATTGCTAGGCCTGTATCTCACCCAAGTGAAATGCTTCAGCAGTTTTTGACCTTAATCGTTATACTAAAGTCTAAATTCGTTCTCTTCAGGATTACATCATGAAGCGACTAAAATTGGAAAATGATGAAATAGCTGAGAACGAGAGATTAATTAAGCAGTTCAAGGAGGAGACAGTGAAGATGAGGGGACAGATAGAGGAGTTGAAAACAAGGTGACTCTATATAGAACAGTGCAAACATTCATTTAGCAGTTAAATGAGTTTAATAGTTATAATCGTGAAGTTTATTTGCTATAGATTTAAGTACAAGTCTTTCATGGAGTATACGATAACCGTGCAACTTGGAAACTAATTGTCCAGTGACTTTAAGTCGAAGAATTTTCTGCAGCACTTTTGTGCTGATTTCTCGGTTACCACTTATCACTGGAAAGCCCATGATTGTGTATTTGTTTGTTGCGGCGACAGTGCTCAGATCTTCCAAGTATCAAAGTGCAGTGCCTGCAACCACCCGTTGGAGCTACCCTCAGTGCACTTTCTCTGTCAGCACTCGTACCACCAGCAGTAAGTGTTTGCTTATCAACTGTTTCCTATAAATCAGATGCGTGACTATTCTTATCTCATGAGCACTAATATACTAATATACACAGTCTAAGGCGGAACTTCGAAAATGTGAAATCGCTACCCGTACAACTCTTCGAATATTACATGGAAAAGTAGCTGTATGAGCTGAAATGCAAAAGAAACGTTTTTTTTAAATGAAACAACACGAAAACAATGCCGTGAGATAATGTTGTGCAATGCTTTGCGTTTCTATTGATGAGCACCAACGAGTATAGGCAATCCCTCCTTCACGTAGTGCAGAACGATATTGAGCTTTTTATCCATAGTAATTACTTTGTTCGAGTCGAGGCAGAAGGCCGTGAATGTGTTTGTATCGCTGAGGAGCCTTTTGACACCTTTAGTGACCAGGTACAGGTCCATTCCGTCGGTTTCCCTTGCCAGTATTGCCCCTGCAACAACACACGTGATAGTTGTTCTGTTCATTCACACCTGCAGTGTGTCCGATACGTTGCAATAAACTGTCGCCGTGATTTGTCGAAACTGTCGATAAAAATCATGCAACTGCACACAACAGTCACTATAAAGCCAAAACTGCATATATATATATATATAGCAGTATCCGACACGCACGCACGCACACAATTATTTGAATTTGAGATTACCTTAGAAATATCCCATGAATGTATAACAGTAAGTCTTGTGAATGTTAAATTTTTTGTTTAATTGCTTAAATACTTGATATATCCATCTGGAGTGAGTGACAAGTAACTCTACTCAATTGACATTGTAATAGGGGCATTCTAAAAAGGTTGTTCAGCATCGAAGTGCCACAAAGTCAACGATTCACTTGCGTGCGCACGGGAAACATGTATAAACGGTCGCTAATTTCCATGACCTAGCAACAATATGGGTCAACTGTAGGTAGTTTGCCAGTATTACCTGAAGTTATTTCAACATTTGTGCAGTGACAGACTGTCCTGAAGAGGCGTGTAGTTTCGATGCAGTCGCGGCTCCTGAACAGGTTGTTGAAGGTTTCGTTATTAGGTATGGGATTCCTGCATCCATCGAGAATCAGGTAGACGGTGTCGTTGTCGGGACTCTGCAGTAGCTGCCCGTCTAGTTTCTTGTCCTTGACTTGGATGTTTGTTGTTTGTAACCACGGCGGATGCAAATGAAGTCGCAATTAATTAACGTGTAACCACTTTAAAAGACACGCTTCTTAAGCACGTTTAGCACGAAAGATAGAAATGTGTTAATGGTGAATTTGTGATGTGAATTAATATATGTTATGTAAACTTGTCAGTTGCTGGCGTTGGCCGTATTCGCCATCTGCGGTGCATGTTTACAAATATCATTGGAAAAATAATGCAGCACTTATGCCCAAATTGATATCCCTCTGGATGATGACTTTAGTTATTAATGTTCTATAGCAATCGTAATGAAGGTGTATACCAAGTCAATGGTAAAATATAACCTTTGGAATTGTTTCGAGGTGGTTTACAAATAATTGACAAATACCGTATACGTACCACAGGTTATTGGTTGATTATTACGATTATAACGATTAGAGGAAGTTAAAGCCACACACGCCGTAAGTTGCAGTGCAATTATTATGCTACTGATCACTACACTCTTGCATATCATCATCACTGAATGTTCGTTAATGAGCAAATGATTAACACTGCAAGTATAAACTTGGTTATGTCAGCCTTTTGAATGTCACGTCGAGTTTCTCCCCAGATTGATTGTGACCATGGGTACGTCCTATTTGCGTTGAGTAATCTCCAGATTTAAACGGAAATATTGCGTACATAGGGGCCAAAACGAGCTGTAAATACTGATAACAAGTGTCGCGCAGCAACATCACCAAGCTGGTTGGTGCTCCCTACTAGTACAGCTGTACCGTAGTTGGAGTTTGGACGCTCTCCAGTTTCGGGCGAGCGTCCAATCTCTACGGTACACAGCTATGTCTACAATGAACACGTAACCAACGGCGACTCTTGATGTGTCAGAAAAAATGTGAATCCCTGGACAAATTGACCAACTAGTATCATATTTTTACATTGCACGTTTGGTTTTATGGCCTGGAACTTTACACTTTGCGCAGAAAAGGTGGTAGAAGAGCGGCGCATTGCTAACACATAAGAATTCCTCTTATTTCTTAAAAAGACAAATGTTTGTTAAAATTGCTAACATAGGCCTACCCATTACTCGGTTACATTTTTACATAGATAACTATGGTTGAAACTAAAATGAATATTGCTGCTTTCAGCTGCTTTGAGAGCTACGCTGACAACGAGCAGGAGTGTCCAGCTTGCCTGCCTCAAAACAAGTAAGAACTTTAGTATAGACCATATTCTGTTCACTATGCAATTGTGGGCTAGAGTGTCTGGAGGTTGACCAATCGATTTGTCACTTGTAGTTGTATCATTTATAATTGTCTAAATTTAAACTAAGATTTAAGAATTAATAAGTCACTTGTCTTTGGATCCGATTGGTGGTTGTCCCACATGGCTGAACTTAGTTATACTATTTCTGGAAATTGGACGATTTGCTATGGTATCCCTCTTCATACGCAGTGACGACTGCAGTTTGTTTCGCACACATAGCATTACCTACAGAATGATACTGATCAGTAATCACCCTAATGTAGTTTTGGATCTTGGTGAATCCCAACTCTTGGATGAAAAAGAGCTGCTGTAATACAAAGTGCTATGTTGATGAATTGTGTTATACGTGTGATATTTTCAAATTTGAAGTGTGCTGCTTGAATTAGCTCACAACTATAAAAACACAAACTGATAGCGAGTTATGTGTATTACTTCATTAATTCCTCTTCATACGAGGGAAAATAATTTTAATACAATATTTGGGGATATTAATGTTTCTTGCTATACCTTTATATCGTGCCAATGTGTCACCTTTTATTTATGCACTGATTGGCAGGAGAGTCCTAGACAGGATTAAGGAGCAAGAACAAAGCCGAAACCTTCACGACCAATTCCATTCACAGGTATAGATCCTGGCCCACAAACATGCTGACTCGCTTAAAAGGCTTGTGCACAACTTCTCTGTCATCGTTGAAATTTCTTGCACTGCGTTGCTTTGTGTGCATTGGTAGAATCAACCCCGTGCCTTCCATACAAAAAATAAGTATCAACTGGACAAAATATTGCTTTCTCTGTATTGACCTGATAAACTTCAGGTTTCAGTGTTCTTTCCAGGAATTTCAGAAGCCATGTCGTTTAATGATAGATGGGTAGGGTATAGGAGGGAGTTGTGCCTATTGGGGTCAATTACACGTGTCTTAAGCGGGCCCCAATACACAGGTAACCTCGATCAGTTCGGAGATGTATACATAAAGCTGTGAAAACACACATGAAATGACTGTGTTGGCACTGTCAGATGTAAACACAGCTGGAAGTTAAGTCATGTCAGTTGGGCAAGGCAATTCAGGCGTTTCGGGTGAATTATGGGACGTCACAAATGAGGTTAAATGTTAAACATGCGTTAAAGGCCCGGGGAGAACCCCAGGGTTTCCAGTTGAGAACTCAAAGAATAATATTAAAGTGATTATGTCACCGTAACTAGTAAAAGTAACAAAAATTGTCCAATTTTTCACAAAATGTAAGTGATTCTGTTCACTTTTTATGGTTAAATTGCTGCATTATACTTCCTATTTTGTTATTCCTTTCGATGTGAACAAACACTCGTGACATACATAGCACATAGCAAGCATTTAATGTTGTGATCAACATTATCAAATCGCCCAGATTTTTTGGATTTTTAACTAGTTGAAAAACAATATCAGCGATTTAAGGATACATTTAATGGCGTTAGTACTTACTTTTCATGTAGGGAATTTTTGTGTGCAAATATACACCATAGAAAATTCGTGATGTAGTCAATTTAACTTGTTTTACCGTTTACAGTCAACTGTCCGTCGGTCTGTCGGTCTGCCATGTACAATGTCTATGCTTCAGCTGCAGAACGCTCAAGATGGCTTCGCCGTCGTAGCCGACTACTTCAGGCGGGGTGTGTTTAACAACGCCACACTGGTCCCAGACCCCCAGTGCCAGACAAAGCCCCCGTCCGGCTTGTCACGCGCGAGGGACACGTTGGACAGGAAGTAGGAGCGAAAGGGCAGACGTGTAATCATGCGCAGAAATTGCGAAATCGATCCAGTTGCCATTGTCGTCGAAATCGTAAAGAATTACGTACGTGTTAATAAACTCTTGTGTGTAAAAAATTTATTTCGATAATAAATAAGAGCAGTACGCAAGACCGGATGAACTCATTTTCAAATACTGTACATAATACTGTATAAATATGTGTGGATGTATATGATTGTAACATGAGAAATTGATTGTTCTCATGTTGTTACTGCACTTCTACTGTTTGTTGTGCTTATCATTAAACTATTATATACTGATAATTAGAAAAGGACATTTCAGATATGCCTACATATATAATTCTGGACGATGGAGAGAGATTGTTCAGTTATATTAACATACACAAACGAATGCCACCAGGGGCAGAGCGTGGGCAACTTTTTCTTCAATGCAGCCACAGACGTGCGATGCAAAAATTATGCAAAATATTTCATGTCCAATTTAGCACTTGTGGCGATTGTCAACAGGGTTGTCCAGCCTTGCTGTAGAATGTAGATGGTGGAATGCTCTTGGGTTGTTGTGGAAGGTCAAAGCTTCCGTAGGTTGCTTTATGTCCGTACTACTTTGCTGTCACGTTGTTCTATCTCCTGTATTAAAGATCAAAGATGTGCTGTGATAAAATGCTGTAACAATTTTTTATGTTAAATTAAAAAACACCGAGTACAAAATGTAGAATCACCAATGCAAATTGGGTTTAGGGATCCAATGCAGATTTTGAGAAGAAAGAAAATATAAATGAGAAAAGTGAATGT